CTTTTCCAGCCCCACACTCTTTCTCTTCTCCTGCTGGAGTGGTGGTGATGAGTGTTCAGTCTTTTCTTTTGGACCCTTGGGTTTGTTGTCATTGTTGTTTTTAGTATTTTCTCTCTGTTGTTCAGATTGAGTAATTTCTATTCTTTGATCTTTAATTTCACAGATTCCTTTATCTCTCATCTCAGGCTGCAGTCTACATTTACCCATTTTTTTATATCAGTTATTGTATTTCTAAGTTCAAAAATTCCCGGATACTTTATTGTGTCTTCTGTTTCTCTGCTAAGACTTTGTGGTTTTTAATTTATTTCCAGCATGTCCATAATTGCTTGTGGAAACACTTTTATGATGGTGCTTTAGAATTCCTGTCCAGTAATTCCATCAGTTTCATCCTGGTTTTGGCATTTGCTTGTATTTTTTATTTAAAAAGAGATTTTCCTGGTTCTTGGCATGGCGATTCTTCATTGTATCCTGGACATTTTGGGTATTAAGACTCTGAATCTTGTTTTTCTGTTTTAGCAGAGCTTTCCCTGACATAGTGCCCAGGAGTAAGAAGCTGTTTCCTCTTGGGGCGTCTGGGTGGCTCAGTGGGTTAAGCACCTGACTCTTGATCTCGGCTCAGGCCATGGTCTCAGGGTGGTGCGATCAAGCCCCATGTCGGGCTCCATGCTGGGCATGGAGACTGCTTGAGATTCTCTTTCTCCCTCCCCCACTCTCTCTCTTTCTCTCTTAAAGGAAAGAAAGAAAGAAGGGAAGGGAAACTGATTCTTCTCACTGCCATGTGAGGATGAGAGCCCCAATTTCCCACTTGGCCCTTGTTTGTGCCTTGGGGTAGGAACAGACACCTGTTGCTGCTGGCTGGGAGTGGGATTTCAAGCTTCCCCATAACTGTGCCCTAGCTGGGAGAATTGGGGGGGTCTTGTTACCATCCCCTTCTACTGAGCCAGTAAGGTTTCCCTTGTTACCGATGGCTCTTCATGTGGCCTTCTCTACCACCGTCCCACTTAGGGGAAGGACCCTTAGTGCAGCCAGGTAAGGGTGGATGTCGAGGCTCCTCACGTACCTTTTCTGACACTGCTCCAGTTAGGGGAAAGCACACCACAGTATAGCTAACTGAGGGTGGATATCCATGCCCCCCCCCTTTTTAAATTGAAGTATAGTTGATACACAATGTTCTGTTAATTTCAGATGCACAACATAGTGATTTGACAAGTTAATGTTACATTCACCACAAGCGTAGCTACCATCTGTATTGGTATTACAATATCATTGACCATATCCCCTATGCTGTACCTTTTATCTCCATGATCTATTTGTTCCATACTGGAAGCCTGTATCACCCACTGCCCTTCATCCATTTTGCCCCTCCCCCAGTCCTCTCCCCTCTGGCAACCATCAGTTCTCTGTATTTATGGGTCTGTTTCTGCTTTTTGTTTGTTCGTTTGCATAGTTTTTTAGATTCTACATATAAGTGAAGTCATGTAGTGTTTGTCTTTCTCTGTCTTATTTCACTTAGCATAATACCCTCTAGCTCCATCCACATGGTTGCAAATGGCAAGACTTCATTCTTTTTTGTGGCTGAGTAATATTCCACTGTGTGGGTGTGTGTGTGTGTCACATCTTCATTATCCATCTAGGGAGACCCTTGGGTTATCTCCGTATTTTGGATGTTGTAAATAATGCAGTAGAGATAGGGGTGTAGATATCTTTATCGCTAGTGTTTTTATTTTCTTTGGGTGAATTCCACTACCCAGTAGTGGAATTATTGGATCATATGGTAATTCTGTTTTTAATTTTTGAGGAACCTCCTTACTGTTTTCCAGAGTGGCTGCACCAGTTTGCATTCCCACCAACAGTGTAAAGAGGGTTCCCCTTTCTCTGCATCCTCACCAACGCCTGTTGTCTCCTGTGTTGTTAATTTTAGCCATTCAGACTGGTGTGAGGTGATATCTCAGTGTGGTTTGCATTTGTATTTCCCTGATGATGAGTGATGTTGAGATCTTTTCATGTGTCTTTTGGCCACATGGATGTCTTCTTTGGGAAAAGGCCTATTCGGATCCTCTGCCCATTTTTTAATTGGATTGTTTATTTGTTTTGGTAATGAATTGTATACGTTCTTTATATATTTTGGATATTAACCTCTTATCAGATGTATCATTTGCAAATAACTTTTCCCATTCAGTAGATTGCCTTTTTGTTTTGTCAGTGATTTCCTTTGCTGTGCAGAAGCTTTTTATTTTGATGTAGTCCCAACAGTTTGTTTTCACTTTTGTTTCCATTGCCTAAAGAGACATATCCATAAATATGTTACTAAGGCGGATGTCAAGGCGATTTTACTTTTAGGAGTTTTATGGATTCAAGTCTCACATTTAATCCATTAATCCATTTTGAGCTAATTTTTGTGTATGGTGTAAGAAAGAGTCCTGTTTCATTCTTTTGCATATGGCTGTCTAGTTTTCACACCACCGTTTGTTGACGAGACTGTCCTTTCCCTGTTGTATATTCTTGCCTCCTTTGTCATAGATTAATTGACAGTGTAAGTGTGGGTGTATTTCTGGGCTCTGTTCTCTTCCTTTGATCGGTGTGTCTGCTTTGGTGTCAGTACTGTGCTGTTATGATTACTACAACTTGGTAGTATATCCTGAAATCAGGGATTCTGCTACCTCCAGCTTTGTCCTTATTTCTCAAGATCACTTTGACTAGTTGAGGTCTTTTGTGGTTCCATAGAATTTTAGTATTATTCTAGTTCTGTGGAAAATGCTCTTAGTATTTTGATAGGGATTGCATTAAATCTGTTGATTGCTTTGGGAATTATGGACATTTTCACAGTATTAATTATTCCAGTCCATGAGCATAGTATGTATTTCCATTTGTTTGTGTTGTCTTTAGTTTGTTTGTTTTTAATCAAGGTCTGATAGTTTTCAGAGTACAAGTCTTTCATTTCCTTGGTTAAGTGTATCCCTAAGGTATTTTATTATCTTTGGTACATTCGTAAGTGGGATTTTTTTTCTAAATTTCTCTTGCTGCCACTTTGTTATGGGTATTCATATTCTTAAACTACTTCTTGCTTCAGTTTTGGAAGGTTGGGTGTTTTGAGTATTTTGTCTATTTCATATAAGTTGTCCCATTTATTGGTGTAAAGTTGGGTATGATATCCCCTAGAAGGCTTTCAGGGGCTAAAGGGATCTATGGTGATGCCTCCCTTTTTATTCCTGATATTGGTAATGTGCATTTTCTTTGCTTTATTCTTTTTTTTTTTTTTTAAGATTTTATTTATTTATTTGACAGAGAATGAGAGAGCACAAGCAGAGGGAGCGGGAGAAGCAGGCTCCCCACTGAGCAGGGAGCCCAATGCGGGGCTCGATCCCAGGACCCTGGGATCATGACCTGAGCCAAAGGCAGACGCTTAACCAACCAAACCACCCAGGCGCCCCTCTTTGTTTTATTCTTGTTCATTTCTTGTAAGGGTTTAATTTTTAAAAATTACTTCAAAGAACCAACTTTTGGCTTTGTTAATATTTTCTTTTTTTCTGTTTTCAGTTTCATTGATTTCTGCTTTTCCGTTCTTCTACTCTGGGTTTAATTTACAACTTTTTGCGACAGAAGCTTAAGTCACTGATTATAAACCTTTCTAAGAAGTTTTCAAATACATGCATTGAGAACTATAAATTTTCCTCATGACTGCTCTGTTTGCATCATGCCATTTCCTGCATATTGTTTTGTTTCATTCACTTCAGATATTTTCCAATTCCCTTTATTTAGAATTGTGCTTAATCTCCAAATATTTGAGGACTTTCTATTAGTCTTTTGTCATTAATTTCAAATTTCATTTCTTTGGGTACAGATGGTATGCTCTGTAGGATTTCGATACTTGAAATTTATTGAGATGTGTTATACTCTTTTCTTAATGTTCTGAATACACTTTAAAAGAGTGTGCATTCAGCGGTTGGATGATGTTTCCCTAAATATCAGTCAGGCTGAGTGGATTAAATAGTGTTTATATTCTTACTAACCATTTTTGTCTTCTTGCTGTGTTAATTATGGAGAGAAATTTGTTGAAATCTACAACTGTGATTGTCTATTTCTCCTTTCAGTTTTGTTAATTTTTGCTTAATGAATTTTGAAATTTTGTTAGATATACATGTTTAGTATTAAGTCTTTTTGTCAAATTGACTCTCTTATTTTTATGTATTGTCTGTCTTTATCCCTGGTAACACTCCCTGTCTTAGAGTTTACTTTTGGCACAATATATCTTTTTTCCAGTCCCTTTGCTTTTGATGTTTCTGTGTCCTTATATTTCAGTGTCTCTTATAAACAAGACATAGCTGTGTCTTGGTGGTTTATTCTTTAATCCAGGCTGACAATCTGCCTTTAAATTAGAGGATTTAGTCTATTTACATTTAGTATAATTACTAATATGGTTGAGTCTAACTCCACCATCTTGATATTTATTTTTTGTTGATACCGTTTCATCTTTGTTCCTTTGCTTTTCCTTTCCTGGTTCCTTTTTTTTTTTTTTTTTTTTTTTTTGCTACAAGGTAGATCTCTTTGTATTCGTGGATATTTTACAGTGGTGCCATCCACTGTGGTAGCCACTAGCCACATGTAGTTAAGTTGAAAATTCAGTCCCTCATTATATCAGCCAGTAGCCACATATGCTTGTTACCACATTGGAAAGGAGAGATAACTGCAGGAAGTTCCAGATTGAGGTCAGGATTTATTTTGAGTCAGAATTATCCAGGGTCCAGTGTGAAAAGGGCAACATTCTAGTCAGAAGATGTGTGTTCATGTTGTGTGTTTACTACTGATGGGCTTTGTGTCCGTAGGCCTACGAGATCCTGCTCTTAGCCTCAGTTTTCTTTTCTAAAACACACGGATAGGAATTCCTGCTCTTCTGCTTCACAGAGTGCTTGTGGAAAAGAACACTACAAAATGGTTAACAGTGTTCAAGAAAACATTAAAACTCAGTTGACTGTGTTTCTGTGTTTTGTTTGGTCTTTTAGGTTGCTGACGGAGCTGGAGTCCCCTTCTTGGTGGCCCTTTAGCTCCAAGCTTTGGAAGATGCCAGCAGAAACAAAGCCCAAGGGGGGCACTTCAACGGCTAGTCCCAAAGCTCTTGGGAAAGAAGGGGTAGTGGTCCGAATTCCTGCTGTTATCTCCCAGGGGACAGCATCTCATGTTAAAGCAGGAAGTCTTACCATTCTTGTGTCCGGGTTGGAAATCCGTGATTCGAGTTCTTTGCTCATGCACAGATTTGAAAGAGAAGATATAGATGACATTAAGGTTCACACACCTTATGAAATCAGCGTCCGCCAACGGTTCATTGGGAAGCCAGACATAGCTTATCGCCTGATATCCGCCAAGATGCCCGAGGCTGTCCCCATTTTGGAGGTGCAGTTCAGCAAGAAGATGGAGTTGTTAGAAGGCGGCTTGACACCCGGAAGTGCCAGCGTGTCTTCCCCAGCAGAGAAGGGCTGCTCTGTCTGGCAGGCGGGTAAGTGCGTGTCGGTCTCCAGGGCCGCGGCCTGTGGTACACCGTTCACGTGCTGCGTCACTGAGAGCATCTGCTGGTTCTGTGCACCGGTGCAGACTGTCCGTTTGTTTGTAAACGAGAACACTTCAGACCGTTTTCCTCAGTACCTGCCACCTCAGACAGCCTGAGTCCCGCCCCAGAGCGCGGGTGTATCACACCCTAGAGGGCTGTGTGGGTTTCCCCTGAGCTCAGCAAGGCTTGGTGGCCCTTTCAGAACAGAGGGAGGCTCCGCGTTAGGCGATTCCCCTTTCCTCTGTGTGACTCAGGGCACTACCTGCCCACCCTGGTGGGTGTCCAGTCCCTCCACCCCGACCTTGGTGTCAGTCTGGGTCATCCCAGCCCGCCTTCCAGGGACATGTTTAGGAATCAGAATCTCTGAAAACTGCAGCACAGTTTTTGTGGGCTTGCAGGCCTCCACTGGCGGTGAGGCGTGTCTCTGGGGAGCACGGAGCTGGGCATGGCCCTGGGGGTCGCAGGAGTCCCAGGTCCCAGCCCCGGCCCCGCCCACAGCAGCCTGGGGTCATCTGACTTCTCAGATTTGCCACCCTGATGCTGTCAGGTGGCATCTTGCTGGTGTCTTTATTTTCATGTCTGATTGACTGTGACGTGGAGCATCTGATGCTCCTTATTTGCTTTTGGCCTTCACACATTTCTCTGTGGCTTGCCTGTGCTGTGGTGTTTTTTTTTCTTCTTCTACTGTGCTGTTTGTTTGTTCCATGTTGTAGGTATGCATCCCTTGTTGGCTTTAGAAGCTACCAGCTCTGCCAGACTGTCATTCTCCATTACAGAAATCCTTAATTGGGCAAATTCCCCTTAAGTTTGTTTCTGCACCATCTTAAGAAATCCCAAAGTCATAAAATACCTTATTTTCCCTTAGATGATCTTACGTCTGTGTTACTGTGATTTTTCTAACAGGCTAGTAGTCATTCCTGTTGACTTTGATTGCTGGATGTCTGTTACAGTAAGAGATATGTTTGCTTCTTTTTACTCTGAAGTGATTGATTTCAGTGCTAATATGTAACCTGGTTCCCTAACACATGAATATTTTGATGTTATTCTACATGGCTTCTCGTTTCAAAAGAAATTTACCTGAAAATAGATCTGTCCCATAAGCACCAAAATTTTGGAAGTGCTAATTTAAACAGGTAATTTCTTGGCATTTCCAGATTTTTCTTTGGCCCTTCTCAAGGCAGGACTGGGAAGCCCGTAAAGGGGCCAAGGAGGGTGGGCAGTACCCACGAGCCCAAGACCCTGATGAGGGAGGCCTCAGGCTAGGCCGTCAGTGCCCCCACCCTGCGGTTTTCCCCTGGGGGGTGGGGCTGGGCAGTGAGGGGACCCGGGGCTGGCAGGCCCGACGCAGAGCGCCTTCAGCCGTTGATTCTGCCAGCGCTGATGGAGAACTCCCTGTGCCAGGCACAGTGCCCGGCCTCCACAGCCCGTGTTCTCATGGAGCTCCACCACATTCGTGGGTTTTCTGTGTACCTGGTGGTTTTGGAGAGAGTGTCGCGTGCCAGGTGGCAGATGCCAGCACACGCCATACAGGGGAGAAGAGGCTTGCCGGGCCTGCTCTGACCCCGAGTGTCCAGGTGCAGACAGGGCTGGAGAGGAGCAGGAAGTGTGTGCCAGGGCCTCTGCGGCCGTGGTCCAGCGGCAGGAAGCTAGGTGAGTGCGGATTCCGCAGGGCCTGCCATCAGGAAGGGCACGGGCCAAGGCTGCTGACCACAGGCCGCATGTCTTCCTCCTCAGGGAAGCCTCACGTAAAGTCAGCTGGTGCTGGGCCTTCGCCACATCCACAGACACCTTCCCAGCAGCACCTAGATTCAGGGTGTGTGGCCTCGCCTGTCAGTCACGGACGGTGTGTGTGTGGAAGGAGTGGGACCACATCCACGATGACGATGGGTGTTCATCCTGGTGCTCACTTCAGCCTCTGGGGTGGAGGGGTTCCCACAGCGTGTCTGCATCTGCATGGAGCAAGAGGTGCCGTGCTCCCTCGGTGAGGCCACCCTGCCCTGGGAGTGGATGAGGGCGCAGGTGGTGAGGAGGGGAGCCGGGGGGAGGCCAGCACGTGGGCTTGGGAGCAGAACAGCAGGATGGCGTCTGGCTTGCTGGGGACTCGCGGGAGGCTGGGCGGGCCCTCTCTGTCACCTCTGCTGTTGTTTCCAGCACCTGTGTTTTCCCTGTCCCACGGTGGAAAATGCAGAAGCGGTGGGGGTGGAAACCATGACTTGACATCTCAGAAATTCACCCTCTCCTCCAGAAGCCGTGTTGGTAGGCTGCGTGGCCAGCAGGTGGCAGCGTCGCCACAGGACCGGGTTTGCCTCGCGTCAGTGTGGGGAAGAACTTTCCAGAGACCTCCGCAGTCCTGTGCAGTGTAGGTGGCCCGGCCAGCGACTGGCCCCGGGGGTCTCCTGGGCTTCGGGGGCTGGGAATGACACAGGTGGGCCGCATCCACCCTGGGGAAAGCAGTGGAAAATGGCTGTTTTCTTGCACAGCATCTTTAGGGTACTGTTTACATCTTAGCATGGTTTCAGACTTGAGGAAGAGCTGGGAGGAGTGTCCCCCATGGCTGCCATCTTCACTGTCACAGCTGACGAGCCTGTCTGAGCTCTGTCCAGATCTCCTCGTGCTTGCTGTTCCAGGACCCCATCTGGAGTCCCACATGACGGGTGGTGTCTCCCTGGGCTCTCCTTACTCTGAAGGTCTTGATGGCTTGGAGGAGTGCTGAGGTTTTGTACACTGTCTCGCGATTGCACTCTGTCTCATGTTATCTCATGGTCCTGGGGTGATGGGTTTTAGGAAGAAGACTTCAGGGGCGCCTGGGTGGCTCAGTCGTTGAGCGTCTGCCTTCGGCTCAGGTCATGGTCCCAGGGTCCTGGGATGGAGCCCCGCATCGGGCTCCCTGCTCGGCGGGGAGCCTGCTTCTCCCTCTCCCACTCCCCCTGCTTGTGTTCCTGCTCTCGCTATCTCTCTCTCGTCAAATAAATGAATAAAATCTTTAAAAAAAAGGAAGAAGACTTCAGAGCATGGCCCATGCTTAGCAATTTATGGTATTTTGGGTACTTATTTTTGTCTTTGTTGTTTGCCAACGGCCACCTTTGAGAGAAGCCTTCTCTGACCAACTCATTTAAGAGACAACACTCGCCCTCGGGTGCTGTAGGCTGCCATGCTCTCACACTGGGACCGCGTCCAGACCAGCCCCAACTTGTCTCTTGATGACCCCATCTCCACCACCCAGAACAGGCCCAGGCATCCAGGAGCACACACATTTGCGTGACAATAGTACACATCTGGGACCCTGACGTCCCTGTGCAGGACTGCTCATTTAAGACTTGGGCTTCAGGCGGGGGAGTTCCAATCCCGGGACGCAGAAACCACGCTGACCACAGACAGACCCCCCACCTGTGTGGTCACTAGGAAAGACACCACGCTGACCACAGACAGACCCCCCACCTGTGTGGTCACTAGGACACGGACACCACGCTGACCACAGACAGACCCCCCACCTGTGTGGTCACTAGGACACGGACACCACGCTGACCACAGACAGACCCCCCACCTGTGTGGTCACTAGGACACGGACACCACGCTGACCACAGACAGACCCCCCACCTGTGTGGTCACTAGGACACGGGCACCACGCTGACCACAGACAGACACCTCCATCCATGTGGTCACTAGGACACGGACACCACGCTGACCACAGACAGACCCTCCACCTGTGTGGTCACTAGGACAGACACCACGCTGACCACAGACAGACCCCCCACCTGTGTGGTCACTAGGACACGGGCACCACGCTGACCACAGACAGACCCTCCACCTGTGTGGTCACTAGGACAGACACCACGCTGACCACAGACAGACCCCCCCCACCTGTGTGGTCACTAGGACACGGGCACCACGCTGACCACAGACAGACACCTCCATCCATGTGGTCACTAGGACATGGACACCACGCTGACCACAGACCCCCCCACCTGTGTGGTCACTAGGACAGACACCACGCTGACCACAGACCCCCCCCCACCTGTGTGGTCCCTAGGGCGTGGACACCACGCTGACCACAGACAGACCCCCCACCTGTGTGGGCACTAGGACACGGACACCACGCTGACCACAGACACCCCCATCCATGTGGTCACTAGGACACGGACACCACGCTGACCACAGACAGACCCCCCCACCTGTGTGGTCACTAGGACATGGACACCACGCTGACTACAGACAGACCCCCCACCTGTGTGGTCACTAGGACACGGGCACCACGCTGACCACAGACAGATACCCCCATCTATGTGGTCACTAGGACATGGACACCACGCTGACCACAGACCCCCCCACCTGTGTGGTCACTAGGACAGACACCACGCTGACCACAGACAGACCCCCCACCTGTGTGGTCACTAGGACACGGATACCACGCTGACCACAGACAGACCCCCCCACCTGTGTGGTCACTAGGACAGACACCACGCTGACCACAGACCCCCCCACCTGTGTGGTCACTAGGACAGACACCACGCTGACTACAGACAGACCCCCCACCTGTGTGGTCACTAGGACACGGGCACCACACTGACCACAGACAGACACCCCACCTGTGTGGTCACTAGGACACGAACACCACGCTGACCACAGACAGACCCCCCACCTGTGTGGTCACTAGGACACGGACACCACGCTGACCACAGACAGACCCCCCACCTGTGTGGTCACTAGGACACGGATACCACGCTGACCACAGACAGACCCCCCCACCTGTGTGGTCACTAGGACAGACACCACGCTGACCACAGACCCCCCCACCTGTGTGGTCACTAGGACAGACACCACGCTGACTACAGACAGACCCCCCACCTGTGTGGTCACTAGGACACGGACACCACGCTGACCACAGACAGACCCCCCACCTGTGTGGTCACTAGGACACGGACACCACGCTGACCACAGACAGACCCCCCACCTGTGTGGTCACTAGGACACGGACACCACGCTGACCACAGACAGACACCCCCCACCTGTGTGGTCACTAGGACACGGACACCACACTGACCACAGACAGACCCCCCACCTGTGTGGTCACTAGGACACGGACACCACGCTGACCACAGACAGACCCCCCCACCTGTGTTGTCTCCAGGACACGGACACCACACGCCCCCATCGATGTGGTCACCAGGACACGGACACCACACTGACCACAGACAGACCCCCCCACCTGTGTGGTCACTGGGGCGTGGACACCACGCTGACCACAGACAGACCCTCCACCTGTGTGGTCACTAGGACACGGACACCACGCTGACCACAGACAGACACCCCCATCCATGTGGTCACCAGGACACGGACACCACGCTGACCACAGACAGACCCCCCACCTGTGTGGTCACTAGGACACGGACACCACGCTGACCACAGACAGACACCCCCATCCATGTGGTCACTAGGACACGGACACCACGCTGACCACAGACAGACCCCCCCACCTGTGTGGTCACTAGGACATGGACACCACGCTGACCACAGACAGACCCCCCCCACCTGTGTGGTCACTAGGACATGGACACCACGTGGACCACAGACAGATGCACCACTGGTGTGGTCACTAGGACACGGACACCACGCTGACCACAGACAGACCCCCCCACCTGTGTGGTCACTAGGACACGGACACCACGCTGACCACAGACAGACCCCCCCACCTGTGTGGTCACTAGGACAGACACCACGCTGACCACAGACAGACCCCCCACCTGTGTGGTCACTAGGACACGGACACCACGCTGACCACAGACAGACCCCCCACCTGTGTGGTCACTAGGATACAGACACCACGCTGACCACAGACAGACCCTCCACCTGAGTGGTCACTAGGACACAGACACCACGCTGACCACAGACAGACACCCCCATCCATGTGGTCACTAGGATACGGACACCACGCTGACCACAGACAGACCCTCCACCTGAGTGGTCACTAGGACACAGACACCACGCTGACCACAGACAGACACCCCCATCCATGTGGTCACTAGGATACGGACACCACACTGACCACAGACAGACCCCCCACCTGTGTGGTCACTAGGACACGGGCACCACGCTGACCACAGACAGACATCCCCATCCATGTGGTCACTAGGACACGGACACCACGCTGACCACAGACAGACCCTCCACCTGTGTGGTCACTAGGACGCTGACACCACACTTAACCACTCACAGACCCCTACTGGGTCTAGGATACAGGCACCCCCTGACTCCCGCATGCCCCCTGGGACCTGTGTGGCTCTCACCCACTTGATGTCTTCCAAGGACCCTCAAGCCCAAGGCACATTTGCCAAGTACGTTGCTTTAGCTGAGCTTAGTTGACATCGCCCTCTCTCTGTTAGGTTTCCTGCTTGGGCATTTCGTGATTTTTTTGCAAAGGGCTTCCCACCCCAGTTGTGTAAGCTTCTGGGGCCGTCCCTGGGTGGAGTAGGCATTTCCTTCCCTGTGTCATCAGTGAGGCTTCTGGGTCCCAGGGACAAGGAGAAAGATGTGCCCAAGACCAGACAGGCTTGGCGGGGGGTTCCTTCTGCTCTCAGGTCAGGGCTGGTGGTCCGTGCTCTGAACTTCTGGTGAGGCCGGGGTCTGCGTCTGAAACATGAAGGACACTGGCATCCACAGCTGCCCCTACCAGCCCAGCTGTTGTTCCTGGAAAGTGAAATCATCCGTAAGTTCCCTTGTAGCTTGAACAATTTGTGCTGATTTTGTTTAACTGTGATAATTAAGGACTTTAGAGACACAAACCATTTTTTACTGAAGTTAATTTTTTTTTGAAGATGTTTCAAAGCATTGAAGAAACTGAGTCAGTGACTCAGGTCTCAACACAGAGCACCAGAGGTGCCGAGCTCTGTGCTATGCACGATCCTGCTGACCCCACAGCTTGTTGTGAAAAACACCCCTGACGTAGTGTGTTCCAGGAAGAAAAATTCTCTATTTTGGCTTTCTGGTTAAGTAAAACTCACTTTGCTAAACATTCAAAAAAAGGTCAGCCTGTCCCTCCAGAAGATAGCTGTAGGTCTTGGAATGGAAACCAGCAGTGGTGAAGGAGCCCAGGCCGGGCACCGGTGTGAATCCGATGTGGGCCTTCGCCTCAGAGAAGCAGTGCGTCACCAAGCACATGAACACCAAAGGTGTGCAAGAGGAACGATGCCAGGACCGATGAGCAAAGGTTGTTGCTGATGGGGTGGCGGAGTGGAGGACATCTGTGCGTGTGATGTGTGCGGATGGGGTGCCGAGGATGGGGGACCCCGGGGATGGCATACCAGGGGTCCAAGGACGGGGTGCCAGGGTGGCTGGATCAGGAGTGCATGGGCCTGGGACCAGTGTGTGTCGTCGCATTAGCCCTGATGACTTCCTGGAGGCTAATAATAGCCGGTGGAACGCGTTTGCGTTGCTGTTTCTGCCGTCGTATCTTCCAGCTAGCTCTGACGGTGTTCTGCTGCAGCCATCTGAGGGAAGTGCTTGTCACCATTTGCCATTTTGGGTGGTGACATTTCAGAGCACGTGAGGCGTGCTGTGGAGAATTCCTTGCTGAGTAAAAGCCTTTAGGAGGCTGGAGTAGGATGGGGCTTTGAGACTGTAGACCACCGGTGGTGGGATCAGTCTGATGGGTTGCAGTCAGCTTTGGCTGTTCTTAAAGAAGAACCTAGAAAACCAGACGTCCGTGTGCACGGTGCACACTAAGGGGTTCTCTGGCCTCCTGCGTGCACCCCTCACAGGAGCACAGAGCATGGGGGCATCTGCACATAGCCTCCTCTAGCAGAGGCCGGCCGGGACCCAGCGTCCTGCCTCTGTGCGGCTCTGGCTCGCGCACTGGTTCCTGAGCTCCCTCCGTCTGGCCTGGGCCCTGTTCCACTCCAGGACCCTGAGAACCCTGTGCCGTCCTCGTCCTCGTCCTCGTCCTCGTCCTCGTCCTCGCTGCAGCCTGCGTTTATCCTGGACGAGGCCATGCTTCCGTTGCTCAGCCAGGCAGTCCTCAGGGAATCTTGATTTGTACAGATTATTTTGGGAAATGAGAGTAGAGGCGGTATTTCTGTGTGTGCTAGTTGGGGGGTGGGGGGGTGCCCAGCCGGGCTCCTGCTCTTCGGGCCCAGTGGGGAGCTGTGGCCCAGACCGCATTCCTTGTCCCTCCCCCTTCCTGACGGCGCATTCATCGGGCGGCTCTGCTCAGCACCGCCAGGGTCCTGTTGGCCCTTCTGTGCCCCCCACTCCCCGGAAGCGGAGAAATGCCCAGAGGAGCTGGTGCTGGTACCCAGACAGCTGTCCGCTTTCTAGCATCCCAATACGCGAACGCGCTGTGCTGCGTCACTGAGGTGCCTTGCACCATGGGGAAGCGTAGGCAGCAGACCCTGGCCAATGCCCTTCCCTGGGCCCTGTGGTGCCAGGCCTGTGGTTGGAGTCAGCTCTTTAAACAAAGGACAGGTGGCCCGCCACGGGGGCGTGCGAGGCCCCCTCGGCTATCACCACGTCTCCAGGCTACCTTTCCGCTCCTCGGGGAGCCTGCCCAGGCACAGGTGCTGTGTGACTAGGAACACCCCGGAGCAGGGCCCGGCCACGTGCTACGCTCTGACTCAGCCCCACCTCCGTGCGGCCACACAGCCAGCTTTGCTTGGCCCGACCAGCTGGCCATTTCCTGTGCTCTGGAGAACCACAGCGCTCTGTGGGGTGGCGAGCTGTTGCTGCGGCTTCCAGCACTGTGCTTTATGTGCATTTCACCAGGTCCCACAAGTGGCGTGTTTGAATCTCCCCACGTGTAGCCGTCTCCCCCAGAGAAGAAAAGTGGCTGCACGCGGATAAAGGGCCTTTCCTGAGAGAGCAGTTACAGAGCCAGACCCAGAGCACGGTCAGTGGTGCCCTCTCTGATCGGAGCGGGGTAAGGACACAGCTTGGGCCGGGGTCGGAGTGAGCTCGGCAAGCCCCCACCCCAGTTCAGCGTAGCAGAGCTCGGGCGGCGGACCCCCCAGCTCCACCGCCCCGGCAGGCGCGGAGGCCACAGACTGGTGCGTGAGTTGAAAACACTGCGTCTGCTCAGAGAGCCCTGACGGTCTTACACATCACTCCTCGTGAAGTTTGGAATGTTCTTGCATTGTTCACGCCTCCGGGAAGGTGTCACTGCTGTTTGGTTTTCCGTTCCAGCGTCTGGGCTGATGGACCATGCCACGCACTGCGAGCCCTGCCCGGGGAGCCAGGAGGGCCAGCCGCTTCCGCTGCAGATGAGCGAGCCGCTGGTTTCCGAGGGGGACGCCCGGGAACTGAGACAGGTAACGTGCGCTCACGGGGCCGCCTCGCCCCTGCCGCACCCAGCTCCCCCCTGCTTGATGCTGGCCCCTCGCCTACGGGGGCTGCCGTGTGCCCAGCCACTTTGTTCTGCTCTCTGGGGCTGGAGAACAGAGAAAGAGCGGTGCCCGGTCCAATTACCTGTGTTCCGTGGCATGCACGCATCCCGTGTGCCTGTGCACACGCAGTTGGCCTGCTGGCTGCATCCGTGTGTTGAACGTGTGCATATGCACGTGTCCGTGTGGGCTGTGCGTGTGCGGGACGTGCAGGCACATGTGGGCTTTCTGTGCATACGCGTGTGTGTGCTCTGGGTGCACGTGCTGTGAGATCATCCGCATGTACATGTGTGATGTGTGTGTGCGGTGTGTGTATGTGTGTGCTGTGTGTCTGGTGTGTACGTGCGTGTGCTCTGTGTGTGTGTGCATGTGTGTGCTGTGAGATCATCCACGTGTACAAGTGTGATGTGCATGTGCGGTGTGTGTACGTGTGTGCTGTGTGTCTGGTGTGTATGTGCGTGTGCTCTGTGTGTGTGTTCATGTGTGTGCTGTGAGATCATCCGTGTGTACATGTGTGATGTGCGTGTGCAGTGTGTGTCTGTGTGTATGTGTGTGTGCTCTGTGTGTGTTCATGTGTGTGCTGTGAGATCAGCCACGTGTACATGTGTGATGTGCGTGTGTGCACGTGTGTGCTGTGTGTCTGGTGTGTATGTGCGTGTGCTGTGTGTGTGTTCATGTGTGTGCTGTGAGATCATCCGCGTGTACAAGTGTGATGTGCGTGTGTGCTGTGTGTCTGTGTGTACATGCGTGTGCTCTGTGTATGTGTGTTCATGTGTGTGCTGGGCGTGTGTTCATCTGTGTCTTTGTGAATGCTTGTGCGTGAGTCTGTCCGTGCGTGTGCATGACTCCACAGATGTGTGTACAACCAAGCGTGCTCACTCCCCCAAGTCTCTCTCAAGGCCTTCACACTGGATTCTTGAGGATGCTTGCCGCTTCGTGTCCGGCAAGTCGAAATTTAAACGGCATCTGACAGAAATACTTTTAGGTTGTCTTCCTGTGTTATTGCTGGACAGTACAGTGTTTTTTCTTTTTCTCCTTTTAAGTCATTTTGAAGCAGGTGCCATAGACGTCGTGTCCCATCCTTCACAGACATCTCTGTGCACACCTTTAGAACGTAAGCACTGTTAGAAAGCCCCACGCCGCGCCGTGCTCGCCCCGGTTCGTCAGACATACGCCGTCTCGTTCAGGGACTTGGGCTGCATGTTTGTTCAGCTCACGACCTGCCTGAGGCCTGTACCAGCCGCTCAGCAAAGGGCCTCTTAGGGAATGGCTTCGCTCTGCGCTTTCCATTGGCTTCACAGTGCATTTGTGGAAACACTCCGTTGTTTCTCTGTCGAGGTTTTGGTTTGCAGCTGCCTGACTTGGTTTCCCTGGTTCCTAGCTCAAGGTGTCTCTGGATCCAGGCTCTGCTTTGGAGAGGCTGTGTTGTCCATGGCACCACACCCCCACCAGGCGCACAGGAAGACCGTGTGTCTCTCAAACCTGTTTTTAAAGAAGTCGTCTTACTGACGTGTCCACATAGGCATAGCCTCCTTTAAGCTTAGCCATTTCCTTTCTGGAAAAAAGCGTTCATCCTTGCTATGGGATATTTTAAATATGCATGATTTGTCACTCTTTCCCCTGGTCTAACTTAGTCACTTTGAGTAATGACCCACAGAAACGCTGCATTCTAGCGGCAACCAGCAAATTCTGCAGGTTACTGACTGCAGCTTTGGATGCTCGTGTTGACCCCAGAACATGAAACCCTCATCCTATAAAGGAAACGCTCCCTTTCTCCTGAGGGTGGATGTGAGCCCACATGCCTCAGGTTGACGGGATCTGGGACCCTTGTCTCACCCTCCTACAAAGGCGTCCCACCGCTGTGTCAAGGCCAAGGCAACAGCGTGGCTTTTGGATGGGAAACGTCACGATTTTGTCTGTTAATTCTGGTGGTGGCCATGTAGTTGGAGAGGGCCCTTCGGTTTTAAACCAGCAGTCTCTGCCCTCTAGCCAAGGTGCTAGAGGTCACGATGATGAAGACATGAGCCGCTGTGTGGGGAGCAAGCTTCCTCACCCTCCTTCTCCATGAGAGTGTGTGACTGTGGGGTCGGTCCTGAGCGTCCTCAGCAGGTCAGCGAGCCCTGTGGTGTCCGTGCTGGGAACAGCGGATGCCGTGAGTCAGGATGCTGGCCGCAGGGCAGGGAAGTGGTGACCCCTGAGTGGTGGGGCTGGGGAGAGCTGCCGCAGGAGAGCAGGCTCCGCAACAGCCAGCTGCCGGTCCTCCTCCCTGCAGGGACAGCCCAATTCCACCAGAGATCGTCTTCTGGAGGTAAAACACATGTTTCATATTTGGAGAAGAATTCTTAGCTGTGGAGTTGAAGCTCCAGCGTAAGTAGGAATGAGGTAAATTTCTGGGGAAAACAGAAATGCAAGAACCAGCCCCCCCGTTCAGCTGTGGTTTCTGTGGCAGATGCGATTACCATCGTTACGTGGAAATGGGTCTTGGTGACTTACCCTGCAGTGGCATGCTGAGAGACGACCGGCTGTGGTTTCCCCGGGGCCAGTGGGCTCCGCGCCCTGTGCCAGCTCTCACTGCACCCCCAGGGCCCCCGGGGTGGCCGTAACTGCAGCGTCCACCGTCCACAGGGAGGTGGTGAGGTGGCGGCGGCCAGGAAGGGAAGCGGATTCCTGGGATGGGTTTGGCAGAGCGCCCTGAACCGTCTCACATCTGAGGTGCTGGCCTTTCCCGTCGCAGGCTGCTGCTTGTTTGTTAGGGACCTGTGTCGGCTCCCTGGTGGAGGCAGCTCCTGGCGCCCTGAGGGCATCCTGCATCCCCGACTTTTCTTCCCGACTCCTTCGGATCCACTGCGCTGTCCGGCCCCGCCCGGCCTTACAGCACCCCAGACGGGGATAACCAGTGAGCACTGCGACGGGGACTCCAGAAGCCCTCCTGTCCTTCCCGTGACGAGGGCTGCAGCATGTGGACTCGGGGTGTGAGGTCACGGTCCCCCACGGCGGGGTGCGGCGTGTGGACTCGGGGTGTGAGGTCACGGTCCCCCACGGCGGGGTGCAGCGTGTGGACTCGGGGTGTGAGGTCACAGTTCTCCATAGCTGGGATGCAGCGTGTGGACTCGGGGTGTGAGGTCACGGTCCCCCACGGCGGGGGTGCTGCGTGTGGACTCGGGGTGTGAGGTCACGGTCCCCCACGGCTGGGATGCAGCGTGTGGACTCGGGGTGTGAGGTCACGGTCCCCCACGGCGGGGGTGCTGCGTGTGGACTCGGGGTGTGAGGTCACAGTTCTCCATAGCTGGGGTGCAGCGTGTGGACTCGGGGTGTGAGGTCACGGTTCTCCCAAGCGGGGGTGCAGCGTGTGGACGCGGGGTGTGAGGTCACGGTCCCCCACGGCGGGGTGCGGCGTGTGGACTCGGGGTGTGAGGTCACGGTCCCCCACGGCGGGGTGCAGCGTGTGGACTCGGGGTGTGAGGTCACAGTTCTCCATAGCTGGGATGCAGCGTGTGGACTCGGGGTGTGAGGTCACGGTCCCCCACGGCAGGGGTGCAGCGTGTGGACTCGGGGTGTGAGGTCACGGTTCTCCATAGCTGGGATGCAGCGTGTGGACTCGGGGTGTGAGGTCACCGTCCCCCACGGCGGGGTGCAGCGTGTGGACTCGGGGTGTGAGGTCACGGTCCCCCACGGCGGGGTGCAGCGTGTGGACTCGGGGTGTGAGGTCACGGTCCCCCACGGCGGGGTGCAGCGTGTGGACTCGGGGTGTGAGGTCACGGTCCCCCACAGCGGAGTGCAGCGTGTGGACTCGGGGTGTGAGGTCACAGTTCTCCACAGCTGGGATGCACCGTGTGGACTCGGGGTGTGAGGTCACGGTTCTCCCAAGCGGGGGTGCAGCGTGTGGACGCGGGGTGTGAGGTCACGGTCCCCCAGGGCGGGGTGCAGCGTGTGGACTCGGGGTGTGAGGTCACGGTCCCCCACGGCGGGGTGCAGCGTGTGGACTCGGGGTGTGAGGTCACGGTCCCCCACGGCGGGGTGCAGCGTGTGGACTCGGGGTGTGAGGTCACGGTTCTCCCAAGCGGGGGTGCAGCGTGTGGACTCGGGGTGTGAGGTCACGGTCCCCCACGGCTGGGATGCAGCGTGTGGACTCGGGGTGTGAGGTCACGGTCCCCCACGGCTGGGATGCAGCGTGTGGACTCGGGGTGTGAGGTCACGGTCCCCCACGGCTGGGATGCAGCGTGTGGACTCGGGGTGTGAGGTCACGGTCCCCCACGGCTGGGATGCAGCGTGTGGACTCGGGGTGTGAGGTCACCGTACCCCACGGCGGGGTGCAGCGTGTGGACTCGGGGTGTGAGGTCACGGTCCCCCAGGGCGGGGTGCAGCGTGTGGACTCGGGGTGTGAGGTCACGGTCCCCCACGGCGGGGGTGCTGCGTGTGGACTCGGGGTGTGAGGTCACGGTCCCCCACGGCCGGGGCGCTGCGTGTGGACTCGGGGTGTGAGGTCACAGTTCTCCATAGCTGGGATGCAGCGTGTGGACTCGGGGTGTGAGGTCACGGTCCCCCACGGCTGGGATGCAGCGTGTGGACTCGGGGTGTGAGGTCACGGTCCCCCACGGCTGGGATGCAGCGTGTGGACTCGGGGTGTGAGGTCACCGTCCCCCACGGCTGGGATGCAGCGTGTGGACTCGGGGTGTGAGGTCACGGTCCCCCACGGCGGGGTGCGGCGTGTGGACTCGGGGTGTGAGGTCACGGTCCCCCACGGCGGGGTGCGGCGTGTGGACTCGGGGTGTGAGGTCACAGTTCTCCATAGCTGGGATGCAGCGTGTGGACTCGGGGTGTGAGGTCACGGTCCCCCACGGCGGGGTGCGGCGTGTGGACTCGGGGTGTGAGGTCACGGTCCCCCACGGCGGGGTGCGGCGTGTGGACTCGGGGTGTGAGGTCACGGT